TGGCAATACAAATCTTAATTTTTATTTCTATGACAAATTTTATTCTTCTGCTATACAATTCATTAAAATGCTCTTCAGCCTTTTATATAGCTTTATAATACTGAATGGTAATGTCTCTTAAATCTTATGGTAGTTCGACAATTGATTAGCTAACTTAGACGACACAGAAATGATTTCCTTACATCAACGAAGAAATCTACTTACGTTGAAGCATCAATAAAACGACAGTATGTTTTTCATTAGATGAGAATACAACGCATTGTGGATTTACCTAGCAATATCGATTGTTCTATACAGAACATTACAATACGTAATAAGAAATGGAAGGTTCTATTATCGAGAGAGATAACTTATTTCCAGTTCTGTCGTTTACAAAAAAAGCTAAATGAAGAAATTAATGTCACATTACATATAAAATGTGGCATACTGTTTACGTCGAAATAATTTATGTTTAAGAATAAAGAAGTACATGTCAGTCGGCACTCCAGAAGATAATGTAAAAACTATATTTTTGCCACATCAACTATTCGTAAAACTAATTTCAGGAGTGAACAAGCCGGATTAAGTACACGATAGGCAATCACTAACAGAGACATATACTATAATATTAATATTAATTAGCTGTACCTACTCGAATTAAAGAGCCAAAAGAATATCCAATTTTTGCTATCGTAACGTTCATCATCGAATTGGATTCCAGCATAGATGAACAAAAATCGAATTGGCTCGGCCAATTCTATGGAGCCACCATTGGAGAAAGAAATCAGCTTGTAGGAAGGCATGTTACTGAAAGAAGAGCACTTGTTAATTATTTTTGTCTTTATCGTCATTATAATGCTAGGATCATGACGATATCTCAACGACGGACAGTATGCTTCAATATTTTCTGATCTCATTAAAGAAGTTTTGTTTACTGAGGCGAGTTTTCAGTTTTAAATTTATTTTTTATCGATATTTGATGTTAGGCTTAAGACGATTACAATAACTTTGTGGTTTTTGGAGGCATTTTGGCGAGAAACACGGGAAAAATAGTAAAAAAAAATTATGATCAATATTTGCCTTATTTCGAATTTTAATTTCAAGTTTTTAAAAATAAGCTTAGAATTAGATTAGTTTTTTTATGCGGAGAAGCCCCTCCCTCATCTACATGTGTACATGGAAAGAACGGTTTTACTGAAGTATCTAAAATTTTAACTAGATACAGATCTGAAAATAATTTTGTTGGACCATCAAAGTAATTATGTAGAACACTCAAACCGATTGCTAAAATGTCAAAATTTTTTACAGCATTATCATCATACTTTAGCGACCTACTATAATTATTTTGATGGTGCAATAAAATTGTATCTAGCTAAATTTTTAGGTACTTCAGCAAAACCGTTCTTTCCGTGTACTTTCAAATAAAAGAAAATTGAACGTGTTTGCGCGCGTGTGAGTGAGGAAGGGATAGTGGGTGAGAGACCACTGACACCGAAGCTTGAAGTAACACGATAGTTTATTTTAACAACTAAAATGACGAAATTAAAGAGTAACATAATTTAGAAATGTATTCGGATTTAACTAAACTCAGAAACGCGGGCGTTTTAAATAAATTCTCTATTGACACTTTCTCGCTTGTCGTGTCGGATATCCCGCGCGTGTATAAAAACTCACCATCGCAAATCGACCGATGACAGATCTTGACCTACTGACACACACACTGTTGACGAATGGCGACGCGCCGTAAGTTCTATGGGTTTTTATACCCACACGAGCCAAAGAATCGAACTGAAATACCAAAGATGCAGATAGCCAGTTATCTTTGTAATTAGAGAATCGATCGTCGAAAAGACCGTGCCGGAGAATTAGAGTGACTCGACATCGTACGGAGAATAAGTCTGAAGACGCGAGCGCGAAACAGATAAGCGGCGATTCGCTGGATAAATATCGTGTTACACTTCCGACGTGACTCCATGACACTGTCGACTAATTAAGAATAAGAATATTCAAGAACATTCGTGATCTCGAGCATTCGTGATCTCGAACAATTGTTACCAAAATTTTAAACAGTTTGATTAATGTTCGAGTAGTTATATAAACAGCCACTAATTATATAAAAAGTCCCAGGTAGCAAGCACTCGTCATTTTGACGTCAATATTTGGTCATAATTGGTCAGTAACGTCATTCGTCGATTATGTGACGTATATTTAACGTCATGTTTTAATACGTCAAAAAGACTTTGTAAAATGACATTATATAGACGTTTAATTGACTACCCAGGTAGCAGACAGTCGTCATAATGACGTGATTCTTACGTCATTTTATGACGCATGTTACGTCATTTATTCCTAAAGTTTAACGTAAAAATGACATTTTTCACAGTATTTTTCACAGGAATATTCCTACATTTATAAAGTGTTTCATAACTTTATGAACGACGTGGTGAATTTATGGTATAAGTGGATCTAGTTGCGTGTGTAATTATAGTTTTATGACAACTATTTCATGCAGTGTTATAACTATCAAAAAGATATCATTACAAGATTTTTGAACACTTTAAAGATGTACCTGTTATAGACAAGTACAGTTAATAAGGAAACATCAGGGTGAGAAGATCGTCACTGTCCACTGGATCATCGAAGTCAAGCGACTCGGACGCGGTACTGTGCTAGGATGGGTGACGGCCTTGAGAGCGGCTATACGCACATGGCATGTAACGAAACAGTTAAAAAAGCTTTTTTTTTTTAAATAAAGAAAAAAAACATTTTTTTGTAAACGTTTATCAAGTAGACATTTTAAAATTTTAATTTCATAAAAAACATTTCTAGAAACCGGTATGTCGTACATTAGACCTATTTTTGCCGTCAATAAAACGTCAGAAAATGACGTCGTTGGGATGTGACTTAGGACCGTGAAAAATACGTCATTTTTACGTTAAACTTTAGGAATAAATGACGTAACATACGTCATAATATGACGTTAGAATCACGTCATTATGACGACTGTCTGCTACTTGGGGTATTTATTAAAAAAAAAATATTGTTATGCGCTAAACACCGCAAGCTCTTAAGCTGTAATAGTATAACTTAAATTACGCAATTAATCATAAGTCATGCATATTTTCTTATCTTTCTTATCAAACTAAATACATGACTGGAAATATTGTATATATAAACATTTTTAAACAAAGCATATGGTATTCTCATTCTTTTGCAACCTTTCTGCTTTTTTGTAACTTTCAAACATATTGTATACATAATGATGTAAATTTGTGTTTGAGATCGCAAAACTTAGCATCGCAACGAAGTCGCGTTCGGCTGCATGTCAGCACATGCACGCTTGCAGTAAATTAATATTCGCGTGAAATGCCGCTCAAGAATTGTCACGGGACTATTCGGTATAGCATGGATCTTTCAGGATTAGCTTTCTAGAAACTTTAACATTGTTATCGATAATAAAGTCAAACAACAACGCTAGAACAAAGGAACGATCCATGCTATACACATTACACAAAGCACTCGAAAACAGGTGACGACCCCGTCGAGTCGCCACGTGAAACCGGTGACGTCAGCTCCATGACGCGAGACTCCGACGGCCAATCACCCTCCCGAAATTCTGGGAAATCTGCAGGGAGGGAGTTTTGCCTCGGAGGTGTTAAAAGGACCGCCGCTGCGCCGCGGAACCGATTTCGCTCGCAGATCATAAAAAAACCGCTTTGCGTACGCCGCTTTGCACACCGCTTTTCGCTATTCCGCGTTTCGAACACGCTTTCGCCGCGTCTCTCGCCGTAGCTTCTGTGCGCGCTTCACGGCTTCCTTGGCTAAAAGGAAAAGAACTGTAAATAACTGTACATTATAGACATTTTCGAATATATTTGTTTTATTTTTCAATTCTGTACTTGTCCCCTTTTTTTGTGGTCGTCTTCTACCTCGCGCTTTCTCGCGCTACCGCGTGCTTTCGAACAATTTGGAAATATAAAACTTGTACTAAAATGGTCAATAAAGGAGCAATATAATGTTGTTCGTTTATTGGCCTTTTTATTTTAATATTTAATGCATACAAACGTGATTATTTATTTATTTACGTAAAATTTCTATTTAAAATATTCTGCATAGGAAAAAGAAATATATGTTTAATTGACACGGCATTACAGTTCTCGGAATTTTTATACAATGTTATTTTTCTTAATTAAGATTTATGCTTTATAAAATATACAATTTCAATATTGATGAAAGACGTCATTATATTGTGGAGTTTTCTTTCCTGATCATTCGGTTAATATATGTATTTATATTTCTTTTTGCTGTAACGCGATACTCTTTGAATGTGGCGATTATATAAAAATTATTCTCCGAATCAATTTTGTCATTTTTAATTCCTTCGTCATGGTGATAAATCTGACTAATTAATTTACTTCAACAAGCGTCACTAATCTGCCGGCCACTAATTAGTCGGATGGTGACATGGACGTAAGAACACCTAGACAAAGCGTAATGCTGCGGGGATGAAGCACAAAGGGTAAGGGGAATGAATTGTCTATTGAAACGAATGAGATATGTAAGATGGTGGCGACGCCGGCATGTTATATACACTATAGACAGATAGATGAATTTATTGTATGCATGTCCTAGTAGGGTTTACAAGGCGTTTTTGTGAGAAGCGTACCCAAACCTCTTACATAATGCACAACACCCCTATTCCCGACCTGGCCGTAAGCGACCCTTTACAGTCTGTTACCCTCCCACCCTCACAGACCCCATCCCCGCCCTCCATCTCTTCCAACCCTTCCCACTCCCTCTCTCTCCCCTCAACTCCGCATCCTCCGCCTGAGCCTCTCCTCTTCCTCTTCGCCTCCTGTCTTCTTTCCTCCAGCCTGCTCCTTTCTCCTCTCTCCCGCACTCCGCATCTCATCTCTCTAACTCCTCACCTGCCCCCTCAGACTGCTCCATCGCCCACTCCTCTTTTTTCTCTGTAAACATCCGATTAGCCTACCTCCCTCCCCCCCTCCAGCCCTTGCTCCCTATCTCTCTTCCCATTTCTCTTTTTCTTCATTCCAGAAAATCTCCTTTCCCTCAACCCAAATTCTTCTATTGTCTGTCCTAACCCCCCTGCCTTTTTCCTTTTCTACCCTCGCCTTCTCCATAATTCTCCACTTCATCCTTCTCTCCTCCATAGTGAGGTCTTCATCAACACCTATCCCCCACCTCTGCCTAAATTCCCAATACTTCTCAAGTAACTCAGCCCTCTCCTTTTCATCCTCCATCTCCACCAACACCACCTCCTTCCCTCCTTCCCCTCTCCTTTCCCATACCCGTCTTATCCTCGGCATCCTTCCCATTACATTCTCCGTCGCCCATTCCATAAAACACCTCCTTTCTCCCGAGTCCCTCCCATCCAGCCCCCTCCAAATCACATTTCTCCTTCTTTTCTCCTTTTGCTCCCTCTCCTCCTCCATCCTCTTCACTTTCTCCCTCAATCTCCTTGTCTTCTCCGTCTCGTCCTCCTCCCTTCTATCCACTTCCCTTTCTTCTTCCCGCCCAATAGACATCTTCTCCTCACTCCCCCCCAATCCCCTTTTTTCTCCTACTTGACTGGCTTTCTTCTCCCCCTCTCCTACTCCACCCTTCCTACCTACTACCCTCCACCCTTCCTTCTCAACTTCCTCCACCTCCCTCCGCTCACCTTTATCACCTGAATCCACCTTCTTCCTCGGCCCCGCTAACCCTACTCTTCTTCTTGCCATCTCTTCCTCCACCCATCTCCTAATTCTTTCCCCTGTCTGCCACGTTTTGTTCCCCACTCCTTCTTCCTTTTCCTTTACCCCTTCCCTCATCTCCTTCTCATCCTTTCTCTTCTCTCTTTCTTCCCAGCACCACTCCCTCCATTCTTCCTCACTTCCGGGTAGCACCTCCACCATTCTTCCTTCCTCTCCTCTCTCTCCCTCTCCTAACCCATCTTCTTCCTTCCTCCTTGCGTCTCTACTTTCCATCCTCTGTCTCCCCCTCCCTTCTCTCGCAACCTCGTCCGCCTCCTCCCCTCTCCGTCTCCTCTCCTCTCTCTTCATCACCTTCTTCCACAACTCCTCCCCGTTGATACTTCTCTCTTCCTCTTCCATCTTGCTTCCCGACTCGCTCTTCTTTCCATCATCCTTCCGCTTTTTCTCCTCGACACTCTCCTTTCCTTCCGACCCCCTTTCCTTTCTCTCCATAACCCTTCTAATCCTCCCTAACTCATCCCCTATCCTATTTAACACCCTAACTAGGTCCTCCGACCACTCCATCTCCCCTCTCTCCTTTCTGCTGCTTTCTCTCCACCTTCTCTTCTTCTTCCCCTTGCACCACCCTCTCGTCGTTTTTTCAGCTTGCGCTGCTTCCTCTTCTCCCTTCCTCCGTCACACCGTGGCCGACACACCTTCCTCCTCTTATCTCCTCTCTACGTCTGTAAAATAATTTTACTTTATTTCATTTACTCGGCCTTCTTCACTCACCCTTTTTCCTCTCTCCTACTTACAGTCACACTTTCTTTCGCTTCTTTTTTCTCGTTCTGCGCTCGGGATGCCTCAGGATAACGCGTACTCACGTCTCTTGCTCTTGCTCTTATATACACTATATTAATACTAATAATCATTATACTAATAATCACTATATTAACCACTATTAACCCTCCGTGGTCACACTGGGTCAATTTGACCCAACCTTTTTTGGATCTAAATATCAGCTAAATACCTAGCTTAAAATGAAGCTTGGTCCGCCATCTACAAGAGTTTAAAGTATCCTCTATAGGTAGAGACCGTTAAAAAAACAAATTTTTCGCGAATTTTTTTTTATATGTTAAAAATTTCTGAGGCACTTTTTTTTATAGCAATCAATTTAGCAATAAGGCAAGTGCATTCGAGAATTTTTTCAACATTATCGGTGGATTATATTTGATATAAATGGTCAAATGGCGAACGATCAAAGTTCGTCTCGGGTCAAAATGACCCAGAGTGACTGCTTCCTTGTTTGAAAAAATAGGTGTGACCACGGAGGGTTAATCACTTTACGTAATCACGTTATTTTTTCGTGCAACGAATATATTTGTAAACATATCGATACATGGCGGCATAATTTCACGGAATGTGATCGTTGCAATAGGCCTATTTGTTTTCACTGAACTTCTTTTGCACGGTTCATTTTTTCTCTTTTTCTTTTTACATTGGACACAAGAAGTGCAGGTAAAACGAACAGGCCTTGTCTCTAGTCGAGTGATACCGCGCGACATGAAAGTAGACGCTAAATCTGAGATACGATAGCTGCATTCGGTGAGCACGCTATTAGCGCTATTGCGCATCATTCTATCTTTATCGCTCATTAGGAGCGCTATCGCATCATTCTATCTTTATCGCTCATTAGGTGTAAAACAAGGATAGACTATATAAGCAAATAACGCTAATAGCGCGCTCCCCGAATGCAGCCGATGATAGATCTCTCACCTCTTAGGCTTCACTCCCCGCGTTTAAAAGAGGTAGTCCTAGCTTACGCTCCGTCCAGGTATTCTTACGTCCTTGGGCGATGACAAAACACTCGCGTACGTGAGATATTTGATGTAATATTACAATATCTACAATCTTGAATCAGTTTAAATAATAAGAATGGATAAAGTTCTATTTACACACAATTTGAAGAATTCTACACAGACGGGGAAGGTGTCAACGGTAATACGCTGTTACAGACACCAACCGGCAGATCACGTTGTAACTCGCTCGCTGTTCGAATTCGACTTCGCCTCTTTTTGTTTCTCGTCCTCGCGGCCTGCCTCGGCGTCGACATCCGACACCTACTCGCTGCTGGCTGATTCATATTACAACTCCTCGTGCTTCTCGTCCTCGCTCGCTACGATAACGCACGTATGCATTCCGAAAACGCAAAGCTACGCTTATTGTAGGTATATCGTGGATACTATTATACATATATATATGTATATATATCAGCATCGGAAAAATGTTCCAGTTTTTTCCAACGTATCTTAACCACCCTTTAAACGTTTTTCAAGATTCTCCCTGACGGTTCCTAGCGTTATCTAAAACTATTCATCATTAAAGAACTCGTATCTCGAATAGCGATGTTGACAAAGATAGACTATATGATAGCGTACCGATAAGGCCCCGGACACACACTTTTTCGTAACAGTAACAGTAGGATTTCGACCAATCGCG